ACACGTGCTTTGCACCAACAACCTTTTTTTTGCTTGCCTCTGCAAAGAGAAGAAAACTCTTTGAAAAGTGAACTATTTGCACATCTCGATAGCTAATGGATGATATCTAAGAAATATTCCTTACATCTCAAACAATGGTGACTGTGGTAGCCCGAGAAAATGCTAAAAATAAACTTGAAATATAATGAGCTTTAAAGCAAAGCGGTTTTGAATACCTGAAAACAGAAAAGTCAGCAGTTGTGGAGGAAATAAATAAATCCACAAGTTGAAGTATTACAATCTCAAAATAATGTGTAAATAAGTGATAACTTTAGGGGGAACATTTAGTTTCAGATTTCTCATTTCTTCTTTATTGGAGAATCAATGTCTGTTTTCCCAACACAGAACAGCACTTCTTCAGATTTCAAAACCTTTCCCTGGGCCATGTTGAGAAACTAAAAGAGCCTGAGTCTTGACCTCCAAAATGCCTTTTTAGAATGAAGAAAATGCTTCATCACTGTTCACAGCAACCATGCATGTAAACTGAAAGTAAAATAAACTTGAAATACTAACAAGCCGAGCAATCATTGTCAGTCGCCACATGTCCAGATCATTTAGTTCGTCAGTTTGATTTATTGTGATTAAGACCAAGAAAAAATTGATCAGCTGTAGAGGAAAGAAAGTGTCGGAGTAAAAATGAAACATATCTCTTATCTCTTTCTTTGTAGTTACTGGTCTCCCCCATGGGAAAACCCTCAAGTCCTAAAGAAAATCACATTGTTCAGGAAGCAGTTGCTGCCATGGTTAAAAGATGTTGATTGTTGGTTATAGACGGGATCCACACCACAGTGTACGGTGACATCCATCCCAAACTCCTCACTAGAGGTCTGGCAGCATTTAAACATTGTCATGTTTCACCTTCATCTCTGAGATTTTCACATAGTCAGAAAGACTTTAAAAAATGACAAATGCTGTTATTGTTTTGGATTAAGACACTCTTGAAAGCTTTGCAGCTAAAACATTTCATTTGTCGTACGTTGAGCATAATATCTGCATTGATTAACCCCAACTTCCATTTTCTACGATAATGTTGAAACATGGCAAGTGCAGATCACCACAGTAAATAAGATGTTCTCTAGTTTGTTTGTTTTGTTTTGTTTTGTTTGTTTGTTTATTTAGGACAGTGCATCTTGATCAACATTGCTGTAAACGTGCCAGTATTAGCCAGCAGGCTAATTTTCAACTGTTGTCCTTTTGGCAAGATGTTAAATAACCACAATAAGACTAGAGAAATAAAAACATAATAGTCGGCAGGCATGTTCCTGTTAAAGGCGGGAAGAAATGGTTTGTAACATAGCTCACATGAGTCTATTCACATGATTACATTACATTTAAGTAAAGAGTAAGAGCTCTTGGTAAACACCAAGTTGTGTTTGATGCCGTCACATGAAGAATTGCAGTATTTAATCATAGCCCTGGACAGTCTCAGCCTCCAGACTTCAGCAAAAAGCTTCACTATCCTGCACGACAGGTCTTCATAGCTGATCACCCACAGTCCTCAGACTCCAACACACTCTTCTGGTGTCAGATTCCACTCGTGGTAGCTGGTATGATGTGATCAGTATCACACACATAATCAAAACCCAGCATGGGTCAGTGGGTTTCTGAGTCGACCTTTAGGGGTTCAGCAAGGCGGCGTTTGAGGCCCACTTGGGCCAAGTGGGAAAAAAAGAGCAAGGCCACACCTGTTGGTGTGACTGATGATGGACAGTGACACATTTGGAAAGGTGTTTACATTCTTCGGGCACTAAGAAAGCATGTAATGTGTAAGCTTGAAGAGAATTTGAAGCTTCAAGCGCATCATCTTCTTACACAAACTGTTTTAATCTCTTATCTCTTAGACCTCTCTTGACCAGAGCAAGTTGAGTCTTGTTGTTTATAGGCAGTTTTAAAACAAATCATTCATGTATAGTTGTTTTTAAATGTTATTTAAGAACTACATTCTCTCTGATTATGTCAATAATCTGCTTTCATGCTAGTCATGTGTCTTAAGTATGCAAATACCAAATGCACAGTAGGAAGTGAGTAGAGACAGATGTAGTCATGCTTTAGCAGCAAATGTGATGCATTCTGCCCCAAACACATGTCTGACCGCATTTGTCAAACAGACGCACCAGGCTTGAGTCACTGTCATTTGCGCAAGTGCCTACAAGGTGCACCTCCATCCTTATTTCATATGCATTCAAGGGAGTTTTCACAAATAACAACCCTGTTGAGCCTCTAGTGACGGAGGCTGTTAGTAAGAATGCAAATGTTTGAATCCTTTTGAATCCTCTTGACATCAGAGGGAATTGACCCTGCCAGCTCTCGATCTGTGTAATGTCCTTATTAGACCATGAGTGACTAGAAACGCTCATTGTTGAAGAATCCCTGGCGAGCAAGTTGACCAGTTGATAATGTTGGCAGCTGGCATGAAACATGGAGAAAACAAACATTGGAGGTTGATGAAGAAGGAACTTCTCAAGAGACACCATTGTTCGGTGTTCTGTCATTGAGGGCAGACACAGCGATAATCAACAGAAAAATTCAAGGATCGTCCAAGTTACCACCTAGCTACGTGACTGCGGTGCAATCTGCGTCATGCCTAAAGCAAACAGAGTATTTCCAGAAATGATAGGAAATCTCCTGTTCTATGCTAACTTTGTGAGAAGGAAACCCAGAACAAAGCCAGGACCTAACTATCAATCAAGTGGATTAGCTCTGTGCCATGTGAAGCCTAGCATAGCACAAAGGTAAGGTTCGTTTATCTCCATAAAAAATGAAAAAGCTCTTTTATTAACACAAAGAAGATGCAGTACATTGTCTGAGTACTTTTCCTTTTAACAATATTAAACAGGCTTCAAGACACTCACAGACTTTTAATATGGATTGATACAAAAATGATGTAACAAATAAACCTTATCATAAGATGATATATACAATACAGTACAGATTATACTCCTGCGTTTCACAAGCTGAAGCAGTATTAATATGCAGTTTTTTACCGAGCAGTGTTCAGTATACATGTTGTTAAGCTCTCCATTCTCATATTTGTTTCAATCTGATGATCTTACCTGGTGTGTATCTACTGTATTAAACCACATTGCCAACCCTTTTACATAACAGCTAATACATTATGCAATCTGCATAAATTAACTTATCAAAAGGGGGACTCCATTTGATTTTCAGCCAGCGTTTTGAAGAGGTGCAGTCAGTCTGGGGAGAATTGGACCCTCCAAACGCTATGAGTTCGTTCTTGCCAAAGAAGGCCGACAGTTGCCAAGGTGGCCTACATACAGTACATGAGCCAGCTCTGCTTATCAACATTCAAAGGTCTCCAATAATAGCTGCTTGGTTCTGCATCTGCTTTTAAACCAAGTGCGTCCACCAACAGAAAAACAATCGGTATTTGTTTACGGGAGAATTGGGTATATCAGCCATTTATTCTCCTGTGACATAGGTGGATCCGGGGTAAGGCTCTTTGAAACACACTGCAGAGTGTGTATGTGTCCAGATTGTGTTTGAGGGGTCGCTGCGGCGGAGGATCCCCGAGGGACCAGAGGAAGCAGCGACTTCACAGCAGATCATCTTCAGCTGACTGTGCAGCACCCGGCCTGTCGAGCAAGCAGAGTCACACTTCCTTATCCCAGCTGTCAGCAGAGGGGTGGGGGGGGGGTTGACACCAAAGCACCTGCACTCTGTATGTGACTGTGCTCTGTGGAAACCATCACATGCAAAAGTGACTCAATGCTTTATTGAGTATGTAATGGGCTTTAGAGATGTTTTAATAGACAAATATCCTCAAATGTCTTTATTTTGACAAATTGTAATACAGCAGGTCGTCATGAGGAACCGTTTCAGAGTTTACGATGGTTCAAGGCATGCAAACACACCTGTCATTTAAACAGATCTTTTGAACCTGGATACCACGGATACTCAATATGACGATGATACAGTAGATGACGCGAAACGACGCCATAAGGACTTTTCCTAATCACTTTTACTCGACAACAATGGGAAAAGTAATTAGGTCAATGGCAAAGGAGAAGAAGAACTCATTCGGACTTCATGACTATGAAAAGACGACTGGGAAAATCCCACTGCACTAGTTCTTTTTTATAAACTTTTTTTTAAATGCATTGAAAAAGGCTAAAAGAGATAGGATAGAAAGCATTGAAGCTCCTTTCCTTAGCATATTGAGAATTAAACATCAGCTTAAGAAATCCAGTCACAAGTCTTTTACTAACCACTTTTCCTTAACCTCAATGGAAAATGTCATTAGGTTAAGGAAATATAAGAATTCATAAAGACTTGTGCTAAGAGAATTCCAATGCACTCACATTAACCTACAGAGAATGTGTTTTCTTTCTGCATCTTAGAATATGTTGGTTGTCACCCATTAGACGTTTCTACATAGTGGTCTATGGGGTTTCACTCACTTTTGGAGCCATCCACAAGGAGAACTGCTGTCTAAACATGTCTTCATATAAAAGTATAAAACACTGTTTGATCAGTTAATTTTTGAAGATGGGGAATGTTTTGAAAAATGTACTAAAGATTTATGAATTTCCTGAAAAATGCACTAACGATGATTTAAATAACTGATTTTGGTGCTTGTCTGTAACATGTCTTCATTTAATAGTAGGAAACATCGTTTTTCTGTCCTTATTTCTAGGTGGTCTAAATGTTAAATGTACTTATATATCAAAAAAAATTCACAGCAAAAGTGTAAACCAGGTCAGTATGTTAAAGTACTGGAATCCATATTATCCATCAGTGCATTAAGCTCATTGACATACATAAGATTTCTGAGCAATATCTCAAATACGCACATGAAAGGGGTCCTGTGGTTAGTTTGGGATTAAATGGGATTAAGGTGAGCGGAATTGAAAAGCATTTATGGAGAAAACACAGTTTAGAGGATAAGGAAATAGGCTCATCAAGTATAATAATACAAGTTTGTCTTTGTTTTTCTCTTTCAGTTTAAGAAATGTCCCATTTCCAGTGAAGGTTTGTCCCTTGGCTGTGCAGCTTCACATGCGGGGAAAACCAAAGAGCGTCAGCGTGGAAAGCAAACCGGGACAGAACAACGCAGATTTCAAGAAGAGTCGAGATGGTTTCATCCTGCTCGTCCCTGCTAACTAACAATTCTGCCAGAAGAACCTGACCTCAGGAAGTGGACGCTCTGCATTTGAGGAACTGGTCCACCCTCACGCTCTTTAGATTGTTTAAATATTTGTCCAAAGTATAAACAGCTGAGTCTGCTTTCTTAACTATAAAGCTGCAGGAGGGCAATGTTCAGCAGACAATAACAGAAGTGTTGAATAGAGAAATTAGGAGATTATTATGTTGTAAAAACTGCAAAGTTGCCTTACACATGTAGGATACTGTTTGCTTTTATGTTACAAGATATTTGAAGATGAAACAAAAACATAAATTGGAGCACTCTTTTAATGACAAATTGTACATCACAATGCATACAAACAACCAAGAGAAGAATTCCAGATATATTTTTGTACATTTGAGTGGAACTTTAATAAAATGAATACTCTATTGTACCTTGTCTCATTAAAAAAGGCAGGCTGAGACAATTATTCCATGTCAGAAGTAATGAGAAGGAGAATGAAAATGTATTATTCTAAATTGACTCAAGCGAGCTCTCTGTTTGTTAATTTCTCCCTAAAGCTTTGCCACAAGAATATACAACATGCTAGACAACTCTATTATACAATGATTACAATAATGTTCTCATAAGTGCTTTGAGGCTTTAAAAGACAATCTAAGCAATAAAAAAAAATGTGGAGCCTCTCGTGTTATACAATACAGAGGATTTCCTGTTTAAATACTGTACATGTACAGTCTCAGGTGACGTTCTGGGGTTTGTATAAAACAGCAGCAGAGAGAACCAGGCTCAGTGACGCAGGAGCTGTTTCCTCTCTGGTCCCTTTGGTGTCCTCTGGATCAGATCAGCTGGGTGATAAACGCACACATTTACAGGATTTCTGAGGACTCAAGTTCTGAATGGCAAAATGTTCAAATAAGTTCAATGCAGTCAAACAAAATGAATGTCAATGGTTTTTAAAATGTTACCCTAATTGCCCACATTCTGAGATATCGCTCTGCGATAAAGGAGGTGGGTAACATTTTAGTTGACATTGAGAAATTATGTTTATACAAGAGTCACAACCCACCTCTGCTTGAGTACAAACCCAATTACCAATGTTTCCCTGTGTAAAATGTGCAAGCTATTATTGTCGTGGCCTTGTCTTTCCATCAAGCCACTAGACGCCTTAAACAGACAATTCTAACTTGTTTTCTTTCCTTTAAATTACTTACAGTTTGAAGAGTTGCTTGGCCTCCGATGGTTTAGATCAGTGGTTCTCAACTGGTCAGGCCTCGGGAAACACTTTTCCTTAGTCAATAAATCGCGACCCAAAATGTTGAACCACTCAAATATATTCAACAAAAAATCGTGCAGTAAAATATACTCTTTTCAGCATACATGCTACATTATTAATTCAACGGAAGTACAGTGCATATATCCCTTATATCCCTTCACAGAACTAAAGTATGCTTTTAAATAATTTATAATGAGATGATGGAATCAAAGCTGAACTGTATAACATAACAAGGCCAACATGCTGAAAACCCAACCCCAGAAGGGGGGTCTGGGGGGATTGTCCCCCCAGGAGATCTTTTGAAATACTAACATATAAACTACCCATTCTGGTACACTCTGAGAAGAAAATAAATAAATCTATTGCTACCCGACATATTAATAGTATTTTATGCCATTGTTTGTTTTTCACTTTGTTCTGACAGCTTGCTGCTCCACTCAGAGAGAAGAGCAAAGAGGAGATAGTCTGTGTGAATTACTTTAAATTGTGGGTAAGGGTAGATAGCCCCCATTGTTCTGTGACCTGTCAATCATGAAACTGGGGGTCATATTTAATTATGTGTTCATTTTTATCTGAAGTTGTACCCATGGATGTATAAAGAATAGTTCTACCGCAAAGTTATTCTCCGTGGGGACTTCCGGCAACAATCTTGATTCTGATCAAAGGCCAGAAGACTCGGAAAAACATCAGCAAAGATATTTTATTGTTTTCAAAACCGTTCATGGTCTCCGGTACTTCCAGTCCAACGCCTACTCCTGCATGCACGGCGTTAGAAAATCGGGCCTTCAAAATAAAAGTTTGACTTCCCCCCCCCCCCCCAAAAAAAATATATAAGGAAATGTTTTTTTGTTCTATTTTTTTTTCTTCGCTCACACATCTGCGACCCACTTTTGGGTCGCAACCCACCAGTTGAGAACCACTGGTTTAGATGATGTTGCGATGTGTTTGATCACAATAAAATAACAAACCTTTGCACATGCAACAAAGAAAATAGTCCTTTACAATGTTCAAAAGAAATAAGCAAAACTCAAATAAAATAATAAACAACTTAGGTATTCTTTCTTTCTTAATAATGCTTATATAACTTCATTACTTAAAGGGTACTACGATTTGTATGTGTACGTGTAGTGTCCCTGGGCAAGACACTTCACCCCAAATTGCTCCTGTAGGGATTGTCCACAGTACTGAATGTATGTAAGTCGCTTTGGATAAAAGCGTCTAACAAATGACATTGACATTGACATGTAATGTAATGTAGTAGGCTACGTGTACGGTTAAAAACTGTTCCTCAACGGCGTCTGTCAAACAGGTTGCCCATCACTGTGGCTTTAGCGCAGGCTCTGTGGGAATTGTAATCCTTTATATAGTGTGTTGACTACAGACGTCACAATTAGGTGGCCTTTCTTATAAATCAAAATACTGGCTCTAACAAATATTATTGTGAGAAACTAAGCTAGTGTTAGCTGGATTGATATCTGACAGCTAGCTTGGAGAGCAATTGTGATCGCTAATGTTAACTAACATATAGGCAAACACTGTTGTTTATTGGTTATTTAGTCCTCTTCCTTTACAGTAAATACTTGCTAAACAGTTGAGCATTTAGCATCTATCCCATAGCGCCTAGTTTCAACTTTCCATAGTGGCCAGTGTTCGACAGAAGGTAAATAGTCTCTAATAAAAGGAGAACTCCTGTTATGATCTTTGTGTTTCCTTTTTTATTTTGTAAGATCCTTGTCTTAATGTCTGGTTTTACTTCCTGTCTTTGTGTTTCCCCGCCTTTTGTGATTTTTTGCCCCGCTCTGACCCACCTGTGTGTAATCAACCTAATCACCTGCTGCTCTTCACCTGCCATCTTTTAGTCCTGTCTGTAATGTGCCTGTCTATCCCAGGGTTTCTCTGTTTTTGTATTATTTTATTTAACTCCATCAACTTAGCTTTTAACTTAGCAGAACCATATATCATATTTTTATATCACCACTTACTTTAACCCACAGTACAATTTGAGTGCTAACAATAGCTTTCAGGCTTGCTATGCTAGTAGCACCTGTTGGGGAAACTTCTGAAGCAATAAAAATCAGGACTCAGAGAGACACGAGGAGAGCTGGAGCTTTGATGGCAAACACTGACGGTTTATTTGGAGCTTCGGCTGGAGAATTCATAAGACATGTCACGGTCTGACCACACGGTTGAGATGCCACCATCAATTCTGAAGACCCCTCCTGTAGCTCCAGGTTTTAACTATAGTTCAGAGTGTAATATTCAACATTCTTCAATAGATAGACTAAACAGCTGAGGACACTGAATCACATTTGTTGTCTCTTATGGCTCGGGGTCATCTACCCCAAGAAGGATGTGTTCCAGGTGTCCCACAACAATAACTATCTCTGACAGAGAGCTGCCCGGTCATAAACTGGTAACATCAACAATATGCTAGGGCAAGCCCTCCTTATGGGAGATAACGGCTGCTCAAGGTTGGTCAGCTGCGTCAGAGGGCGAAGGAGGACATGCAGGGCAAATTATTCCCCAACACCGTTTGCCGACAGGCAAGGCAGGGGCTTGGGGCCCCTTACCAGAAGGGGGCCCCAAAAGAAGGTTGATTATAAAGGTCCACAGCAACGACAACATGTCATGTCTAGAGTGTCTTGGGGCGCCACTGGTAGCAGCTAATGTAGCATAAGGCCAGGACGACGAGCGGACTACAGAGGTCAGGTCAGCTAATTTCTTCCTCATTATGAATTCACATGCTCCTCAGATAATCCCATCTCTCCAGTTTGGAAGTCCAGGCTTTGGTTATAATGTGGAAACAACATGAATACTACAAAGAAGGTGCATTGTATTTCCTAGTGCACTCCCTAAAACTAGACAAATATTGCTTTACATGATTTATCACATGGGTTTATGCTAAAATATACATTTAAATAAACTAATCCAGGGCATTCTACATGGACAGAAACTAACAATCAACCTACCATAATCCAAATTATATGTGAGCGAAATATTTTTGCGCGACACATGAATAATTGCCATTTCCTTTCTCTTTCCTTGTTGATGCTCTGATTTAATGTGAATATATATAGGCCTAATATATTTCCCAGTTGAGAACTTGTTTTAACAATTATTCCGAAACCACATTTATGCGGCATTTCCACACATTATTTGTCCTTGTCTTCTTCCTGGCGCCTACATTACCCACGGGAATTCATCATTTCACATTACTTCTGAATCCACAAAAGCTTTATACAAATGTGTTCTCCTCTGCAATGCAGTATAGACCTGTCAACACACTTTAAGGTTTAAATTCATAGAGAATCTATGATAACATCCACTATTCTCACTGCAGCTTTAAGTATACTTAACTGCCAGCGACATGTTTTTTTCTCCAATGTTGGATATTTCAGATTGGATATAAAGTCTTTGTATCTCGAGAGCTTAATTATGTCTTCTGCTGCCAGTTCTCTTTATTTCTTTCCACAGCGCCTTAGTGAGACTTGTGTGTGCTTATTTTGAATGTGTATAATTTGCATAATGTGAAAACAGACTGTACTTCGAGTATCTTTATAACTTTCACCACTAAACCTCTTGTTGTTAATTTAACTCTGAGACACGGCGCTGTGTTTTAAATACGTTCACACCTTTTAGTGTCAATTCAACACTTCAGAGCTGCCGTGCACCTCTTCAATCAACACTCTGAAACCTAAAATAACTAACTGCAAAAATGAATGTGCACAGTGTTATTGCAGCGTGATCTGTGCAAATTCACCTCTGCTTTGTTTGCTGTGGTCTGGTTTTCTCACTGCCTTTTAAGATGATAACAAGTCTGTGTGAACCATGTTTGAAGCACAAGGATTCACTCCATTTCTCCGTGTGAGCGTCACCAGATTGGGGCCAGAGAGCAGCACTTACCAGCTACTTACAAAGCCGCCTCACACCCCCCCTGTCAGATGCTTTGTCACCAATTCACACATTTCATCCTCTAAACTCTTGTATTCTCACATGTCTGCAATGTGACCGCAATCGCCCCCCCCCCAGGTGACATCCACGTGTGAACGGTCTGGAGGAAGTCAAAATGACGGCTGTCAGGGGGTCATATCCTGTATGAAAGGTGAAATGTTTCCAAGAAGAAAACCGAACTGTTGGATTTTTTAACTGAGTACTTTTAGGCCCCGTCAACACGGAGACGATATCAGTTGTATCCGCTATCGTTCTTTATCGTATAGACGGTTCGTCCACATGAAGC